GTTCTATTTATTTTTATTTTTAATATAATATAATTGTTTGTTTTTTTTAATCTGTTATTATTATAATTTTTTTTTCTATTCTCCGACGATGTACCTTTTTTTTGATTCTTCAAATGTGTTACAAAATAAAGTTCATGGCCGTTTGCCTATTATAATATACATATACATATTATATTATATATCGGTTTATAACCTATAAATGTCACGACTAAAATAATTAATCAAAAATTCTGTGATAAATCGCTATATACCGTTGTACATTATTTGCGTGTATTATAATATTATTATAATTCGTGTAGTAATAATCTTTTGGTTTTGTTTTATTTTGGATATATTTTTTTTATGAACCATTCTTTTTGTCTACAATTTTGTCATTAATATTTTGTTGTTACCGCGTCGAATTTTTACCCGTTAACGTTTGTCATCGCTTCGATATAGTAACACTTTTGATAGTGCCAAGTCAACTATATAAGTTTTTTTTATAAGTTTTTTTTTGTTTTTAACGATCGTTGCAATTCATGTATACTACTACTATTCTAGTGTGTGTCTGTACAACTATTTCTTGTACACAATAAAAAATGTTATTATGTATATTGCTATGAAACGGGTTAGTCAATTAATTAATAATGTCAGTCCGATAGTTCACAGTAGCATGGTACAATGTGTTTCACTACGATAAAATACATTTTATACATATTATAACGGAAAAAAAAATATACGAAAACAATAATTAATATAATATAGCATATTGTGTTATATATTATGTTTAATAGAATTGTTACACTGTTCTTTGGCCCGAGGGTCCGACTAGTCTAATTTTTTTCTTCGTTCTGTCAGAGAAGGTTCCCAGTAAAATAAATGGTTAGATGTTTTTAATGTTAAATATTAGGAAATAATATTATTTAGATTTAAGAAACTTATTTAAAACACAATATTCAGAAATATTATGTAAATGTTTATATTATACCTACTATAAACGGATGATGATGACCCAATTATACTACGTGGGATTCTCGTTGTTAAATATAATTATCCTATACTTTATGTTTGTAATTTTAAAAGTTAATTATTACTGTATTGTAATACTATAAAATAATRATAATTATTGTTTTATAACAATGTATAATATGGGCAATTTAATGTCTAATAATAAAAAATCTATTATGTTACATACAATGATTATTCTATCAAATAAATTTAAATAAATTATTGATAATATACAAATCACAAATGTTTTAATTTATGTAGGAGTACATTTTTGATTTATATCGACCAGATATACGTTCTTTAAAATTGATATATAGAGAATTATATTTCTTTAATTTTATTATATTTTTTTTTCGTTATTATTATTTCAATTTTTTCTTTCTCTCTACCGTAATACATTCCAAAGACTCATCCATTCAAAGAAGGTTTTGCATAATTCATTATTTTTTTTTTTTTTTTTAACTCCCAATCCTGGTGCTTATAAACAATTTGTTTCGATTGACGGCGTCGTCTGAAACCAACGACCGCAAAGTATACCGTACCGATTTGCATTATTTTCGTTTTTATATCATATAATACCCTTTATCTATAGATATATATCTCCCTCTCTCTCTCTCTCTCTCTCTTTCTATAAATATGTATGTATCATATATTTATGTATATAGACATACACTCAAATAATAACAATAATTTTTCAAATAATATGTTACAGTAATAATATCATAATATTATTATATTTGGCGGAGCTACTTATTATCGTATAGTTATTATAATATAATTAGTTTTTTGCCTGAGTTGTCGAATATAAAATCCAAATTAGATTTCCTCATTAGCGTAGAAGACGTGCGTAGGTACTCTTATATTATATATATGGACGTTGCYGTGTTTTATCGTAACGTACCTTCGTTGATTTGAGTTGATATTTTTTGTTGTTTTTAGATGTTATTAATTTTTGTTGTCTATATGCATTTGTTTAAAAAGTTTCAATACAATGATCACATTTTTCAAATTTTTTGTTTGTACGTTTTGTATTTTTTAACATTTTGTAGGGGTCGCCATTATCGGGACCAGACCTCGGTGCGGTATTACTCCAGCCCAATGTCATAACGGTAAACTATTCATCATTACATTTTTTATTCGATTATGTCGTTTACCAAACCATAATGTACAAAACGATAATAGTATTAGACGGTCATGCATTATTTTAATATTGTTATTATACGACCACGACACGATAGTGATATGCTCAGACGAAACGCTATATAGGCATAATAGGTGTATATAATAAATAATATAAAACTATAGCTGTACTTGCCGGGAAAGACATCCGGAGGATTAGACGATCTTGTTTTTAGTATCCCGCACCTGTGCTTTGCGTAGGATAATATTATCATTATTATTTATTATTATTATTATTATTACACATTTATGTTAACCCTTAAACGATATTAGTATATATCATTATATTATATAGGCGTAATAGTAATGCGTACGTCGTATTATATTATTACTGTAACATTATAATGAAMAAATGTACCTATGATATCGTCTATACCAAACCATGATAATAATCTTATAAGCAAATCAAAGTTTTGAATACTTAACCAACTTAATTTCAGTATTACTATTGTTATTATTATTATTATAACTATATACGTTCTTTTGGATGGTAAAAACGTAATATTTTGTTTAGTCGACATATTAACATTTTTGCAACGGCCAAAACGAAATTCGATTGATACGAGGAAGTTGCAGTATAATATACTATACAAAATTGAAAATATTATATTATATCATATTGTTATGGGTGACGTCCGTCCGGTAGAGATTCCCAATAAAACCGATGTAGATGGATGAGTCTTTTGGATATTTCATTTCTTTTCTCTTTTTCCTCATATATATATATATATACACACACACACAGGATTTTTACGTATTTATTTATCTCTACTATTATTATCTTTTTTTTTATTTATTCATTTTACCAATATAACGACGCAGCTCGTTTTGGAAACGTAATTTTTTTTTTTGTTTCGATTCTTTTTTCCCGTTGTATTTGGTCTATATAAGTCATATATCTTATCCCAACTATAAACGTATAATATACGGGTTGACCCCGAACCGTACGTAAAACCGTATATGAAATGAGTATACGAATACGGTACGCATATGGAAAAAAGACAATATTTATATACAAAAACAAATGGAAGAGCGACGTAATAAAGGTGTGTGTATGCTATATCCAACCGACGGTGGTGTGCGTGGCATATCGAAGAAAACGCAGATGTTTCCTGACGATTTCTTCACCGATAGACACGAGTAAATATTCAATATTAAAATTTATACACAATATAAGTATATACTACGTATCATACTATTATTATTATTATTATTTATTTTTTTTTATTTTTTTATTTATTTTTTTAGTGGTATGAAATAATCGTCCCGTACCCAAAATTTGATTGTTTCCGTCCAATATTTAATAATAACACCTGCAGTAGAAGTCTGGCGAATAACTTTTGCGCGTTACAAATTTTATCAGTATTTCAATCTTCCTCTTTGAATAATTGAAAAGTTAAAGCTTAATCGAATTTCCGAGCCCGGAGACGTAGCTTACAAATGTAAAACTCATTGCAAATATTCCTCACTGAGTTCTTGGCCAGGYTTACACAGTATATATTATTCATATTCATATTTTATATTTGATATTTATTATTACTACTATTATTGATTATACATATCGTAGTGATTTTAGCCTAGTGGTATAATAGACTTAGTTATTATCCCGTTCGAATCAAACAAATATAATGATATTTTGTATTTATCTTGTATAGTTATTATATTACAAAGTGGCTTAAAATAGTAAAGAAAGACTTAAACGCAGTAATAATACC